AGCTCCATCCATGTGAACATGAAGGACGTAAAGTCTCCATCTTTCTTTATGGCTGCATAGTATTCCATGGTGTACATATACCACAATTTGTTGATCCATTCGTGGATCGAAGGGCACTTGGGCTTCTTCCATGACCTTGTTTGGAGGCCTTATCAGTTTTTTCCATTTTCATGCCTATTCTAAGAAATAGGCACTATTTGTATTTCTATAGTTTATTTAGGGAAACAGGCTTTGAGTGGTTAAGTTGCTTGCTCAATGTCATGTATATTAAGCTGCCTGAAATAGTCCTACTACTCATTGATGCTCTGTTCTGATTTTGTTTTCTATTTTTCCTTTTAATAAGAGACAGGGTTGGGCGGCACCTGTGGCTCAAAGGAGTAGGGCACCAGCCCCATACGCCAGAGGTGGTAGGTTCAAACCCAGCCCTGGCCAAAAAAAAAAAAAAAGAGACAAGGTTTTAACCTGTGGCCCAGGCTATAATGCTTCACCCTTGGAAAATTTTTTTATTTCTTACATTTTAAGACTTGGGATATTTTATATTAATAATTTGGAATGTCTCATTGACTTTGGTGCTTTAACAGTGCTTTGTTCATCATGTCACAGAGTACATATTACAGTTGTTGATAGTAAAGGTGAAATTTGTGCTAGAATAAATTTTGAATCCAGGGAAGAAATTACATCAGTGTCAAAGGAATTAATTTTAAGAGGTATTTTTCACTCCAAAAAGTGACTGATTCTCTTCCTCATTTTTAGGAACTATTTTTGCATATGGACAAACTGGAACAGGCAAAACTTTTACCATGGAAGGTGTTCGAGCTGTTCCTGAACTTAGAGGAATAATTCCCAATTCATTTGCTCACATATTTGGTCATATTGCAAAAGCAGAGGGTGACACAAGGTAAAGGAGAATTCTTTTATTTTCTAATATTGGGAAGTACAAACATAGGAAACACATTTTAAAACTGTTCTTATAAATAAATATTTCACTATCTTTTATGTTTTAAAATGTTATTTTATTTACAGATTTTTGGTTCGTGTGTCTTATTTGGAAATATATAATGAAGAAGTTCGTGACCTTTTGGGCAAGGATCAGACACAAAGGTTAGAGGTAAGGATAAGTGAAATTGAATACTTTCCAAAGCAACAGAATGTTTACTATATTAAGGTCCTTTTTGTCCAAAAAGTTCTTTTAATATTTTAAGTAACTTTGTACTTGTATACTTTCATACATGCATAAGTATATCTGGGGGTAATAAGTAAAGCAGGATTGCTGAGTCAGGTGGTGTAAATTTGATAGAGATTGCCAAATATTTTAGTATTTTAAGATACAAAAAACAACAAGAAAAGGTTAGCCTTTAAAATACTAATATTGGAATTTTGGTTGGAGTTCCATTATTTACTAATTAGAAAGTACTGTCTGTAGAGTGATCGCAGCCAGCATCACTGAATTCATACAATGTGGTATAGGCATTCAGTGCAGCACCTGGGAGTTGATGGTTAAGAGTAAATACTTCATTTCATTTACTCTTCCCAGTAGTCGTTCAGTACTGAATTAATGTATCAGTAATGTCAGTAATTCAGCATTGAATTACTGAATTATCAGTAAAACTGATAGGGAATCTGAAATTTAGAGGGGTTTCATGATTTGCTCAAGATCATATAGCAAGTGATCCTTAATTAAGGATTAAAGATTATGCTAAGGATCCTACTCATAGCTTGAATTCTGGCTGATCTTGGGCTAGTCTCTTTACTTCCATAAGCCTTAGTTTTATCATATAAAAATGGAAATAATAATGGTATTTACTTTATAGGATTATTGCCAACATTAAGAAATTAAAGCAAAGTGGTTTTTTTTTGTTTGTTTGTTTTTTTGAGGCAAAGCCTCAACCTGTCCCCCTGGGTAGAGTGCTGTGGCATCACAGCTCACAGCAACCTCCAACTCCTGGGCTCAAGCGAGTCTCCTGCCTCAGCCTCCCAAATAGCTGGGACTACAGGCACCTGCCACAATGCCCGGCTATTTTTTGGTTGCAGCTGTCATTGTTGTTTTGGTGGGCCTGGCTGGATTTGAACCCGATGCCTTAGGTGTATGTGGCTGGTGCCTTAGCCACTTGAGCCACAGGCACCGAGCCAAAGCAAAGTGTTTAAATCAATGCCTAACAAAATAATAAATGTTAGCTTGATTTTTTTTCTTTTTAAGTTTACTATATAAACTGAGTTTTTGGAGCAGTATATTATAACATTAGGGATTGTCTGTGCTTGGTGGACCTTAATGAATGCTTATTCTGTGATGAGAACATGTGTACAGCAAATGTAGAAACAAATTTCTTTGTTGTTAGTTGTCATCTTTTGTTTCGATGGATGCTTTATTCTATACTTTTATCTTTTGTAAGTTTATTGTTTTATAATGCATGTTCTAGGGAAAAATCATTTGGAAAGAACACTTCCATTTTTATGCCAATGTTTATAGATCAGATTTATCCTCAGGAACATTCTTATCATTAGTTCTCAACCCTGGTAGACCCAATGCGCCTCCCTCTTCCCCCTCTTTTTTGAGACAGGATCTTTCTCTGTCATCTGGGCAATGGTGCGATCATAACTCACTACAGCCTCAAATTCCTAAGCTCAAGCCATCCTCCTGCCTCTGCTTCTCGAGTAGCTAAGACTAGGAGGTGCATGCTACTACTACTATGCCTGGCTGACTTTTCTTTTTTTTTATAGAGATGAGGAAATTGCTATGTTGCTCAGGCTGGTCTCAAACTCCTGGCCTCAAGCATTTCTGCTGTCTTAGCCTCCAAAAGTGCTAAGATTACAGGTGTGAGCTGCTGTGCCTGGTCTCAGTGTCCCTTTTTTTTTTTTTTAGAGACAGAGTCTCACTTTATTGCCCTCGGTAGAGTGCCATGGTGTCATACAGCTCACAGCAACCTCTAGCTCCTGGGCTTAGGTGATTTTCTTGACTCAGCTTCCTGAGCAGCTGGGATTACAGGTGCCCGCCACAATGCCCAGCTATTTTTTTGTTGGTGGTGGTGCAGTTTGGCAGGGGCTGGGTTTGAACCTGCCACACTCAGTATATGGGGCCAGTGCCCTACCCACTGAGCCACAGGTGCTGCCCAGTGTCCCTTTTTATAACATATATTTTGTAATGTTCTTTTGACTGTCCTGAAATAAAATTCAGAAATGATAAAATCTGCTTATATGCAATTAAAAAAATCAGTATACTGCTCTACTGCAATACAAAGGAGAGTAAAACTAATTTAAAAAAATGAAATACTGGTATTTCAGTATGTAAAGGCTTAGATATGACCACACTCGAAATGAAATAGAGGCCTTAATTACAAGAGCTGCCAATGCAGAGGGTTATAGATATGTTGTATTAGTGACCTGAACAGCTTGATTGGTTTTATTGTCAATAATATGGTCTTTTAAGATAGTTACTAGCTCTTGGTAGAATTTTGAGCAAAATGAAGCACAATTCTTTCTTCAGTTTGCCTATATTTCTGTATTATATTATTGCTATTAGCATGGAAAAGCACTGTCTTTATATGGAAATAAAGTTATATATAGATAGACCCAGATATAATTATTTGGGTCTTGACTCAGATAATTATAGGTTTTTTACCCATGTGAATAGCTGGAAGGACTTTCTTTCTTTTTTTTTTTTTTTGGAGACAGTTTTACTATGTTACCCTCGGTACAGTACAGTGGTGTCACACCTCACAGCAACCTCAAACTCTTGGGCTTAAGTGATTCTCTTGCCACAGCCTCCCAAATATTTGGGACTACAG